AGAAGGCCTCTGTGGGGCTAGCCATCCCCATGCTTGAGGTATTCCCTCCCCACGCCAGGCCAGGTGGCAGAACCAGGTCTTCAAAGCCTTACAGAAGGCCAGGAGTGTGGGGGCCAATCGCATCTCCAGGGGCAGAATGTTCCAAAAAGCAGGGGCTACCGCAGAGAAGGCCTGCCTTCTGGACCCCGCCAGTCGAAGTTCTTTCACTGAGGGGGTCCGAAGCACGCCCTCTCTGTGTGATCAGGTGGGACAATCTCTACTTAAATGAAGAATGTGGGTTTGTTGGTGCTTTTATGTCTCAGGGGCCCAAACTGAACATAAGAAGTCTCAACAGAGCCTTTAGATATTCCCTGACCTAGACTGTGTAGAAACAGTGGAGAATCATGAGGTACTCAGAAGTGATTCTGACAACAGCCTTCAGCATGGCAGCTGCAACTCATAGTGAGCCTACCGCTGATTAGCTTTAAGATACCCATACACAGGCCGAAGACTGACACACACTACACTGTATGAAGTTGATTTCTTAATCTCCAAAAATGTTTATGGAGACCAACGTAAAAAAGTCAACGCATTCTGAGTTTTGTGTATGCTGCTACTTACTGCCATAAATCTTTGTACCAATGGTGAAATGGCAGTGTGAGCAGTCGCTGCCCTGCAGAGACCGTTGACTGTTAAAAAGATGTGAGCTTAAGACATTCTGCTAGTTTTGTCCTTTCCCCAAATATATTACTCCTGTTCTGTTTCTTATACATGAGGTACCAAACATGACTGCATAAAGACATGGATTTAAATTAAACCATTTTTTTCCCAGAACTAATACAATCTTAACGGTTATTTGACAGAAATGCAACAACAAAATAACTATATATTATGAGAGAAATAATGATGGCACTTTTTATGCTACGTTAATGTAATGGTTTTGGTGATATAAAGTGAACACTATATAGCTATTAATACAAAACAGTTAAGAACTTTTCTCTGTGTAGAATACTGTAAGCCTAATCTATATTGCCAAAACATTTCTATTATTCATTTTACAGAGTCAGATTTTTTTTTTCATTCAACAGAACTCCACTTTGACAATTGAAGAATTTCATTCCAAACTGCAAGAAGCCACTAACTTCCCACTGCGACCTTTTGTCATCCCATTTTTGAAGGTATTGCACAGATCATTGATCTGGAAACTATTTTAAACCATATCATTGCTAGGTCACAGGTGTGTATTATAGTTCTGCTTTTTAAGAGAGTGAGGAGAATGATTCTCATCGTTAAGCCCCCATTCTCAGTGTAAGTGGGTTAAACTCTCTTGGAACAATTATTTTCTATACATTCATTGCTAACTAGACAGAGAATTTGCCAGCTCTGCAACATGTATTTTCAATGCTTTGTAATGTTAATATATAATGTGTTCAGTTGTGCCATTTCATCATCTTTTTCAACCCATTTTCTCTTACATATGTTGGGTTGATTGACAGTGCCTCCTGGCATTCCTTGTCAGGTCTAGCTCCACTGATCCAACGTCTTGCACAACTTGGTTTATTATCACTAGCAGTAAAAAATGAATTCACCTAATAATGCTCCTGCTGTTTAGTAGCAGGGTCCAAGCTAAATTTCTGACCCTCATAATTAATAAGGTGGAAAATACCAGCTTCACCACATCCTGTATTCTCTGTCCTTAAGACAGCTGTAGGGAATAATGGAGAGGGGTGGAGCTTGCATTAAAAAAATATATATAAAGCCAAGGAGCTACCACTGCCTATACAAAACTTGGGTAGCCATATTGGTCATCTCTGTCAATTTAATTCTCTCTTAGGATTAACTGCATGTGCTTCAGTCATTTTTCTCTTGTAAAAAGGTAGGGGCCTTTGCAGCTTATTTATCTGTTGATACAGGAAGTGTATGGGAGGTATTTGGGCAGTTAAGTTTTGAGATATGGTCCTCCCTCCCCTGGATCATATGATAATCATATGAAAATGGGATATATTTTTTTTTGGTACATTTATTTAAAACTGTGCCATTATTTAACTTTTTAATCTTAATGCTTTATAGGGCAGTAAATGATAAATGGTTACAAATAACAATTCTCATAAAATTTGCTAGAGCTTGAATGTCTTTTTTCCAGTGCACCACTCACTGATCAAAAAATATGATACATATTTGAAATGCTTGTAAATTAAAAACTTGGAGTAGAAGAAAATGTGTACAATTAAGACAGTGTTGTGAATGATATTTTTAAAAACTTTACCCAAAGTATTTCCCCGCTTATTTGGTAAGGTAGATGAAGTAAGGTAAGGTGTTGAAAAATATAGTAAAGTCAACACCATAGGGATGAAGTTCAACAAATAGGTACCTATAATACAGAAGTTGAACATTTATTCATTTTTTATCAGATTTATAATGCTGCCCTATTCCATAAGTGTCTGGACAGCTTACAACAATAAAAACCATCTTAAAGCAACCAAAGAGAAGGAACAGTGCACAACCAGGAGAGCACTATAATATCCAACCTAAAGTTCCAAAAGAGGCCTGCCTGAAGGAAAAGCCATGTTTTTAAAAACCAATTAAACAAGGCCAGAGTAGGGGCCATATGGATCCCAGGGGGGATGCTGTTCCAGAGGACAGATCAAGCAGAGAAGGATTGCTTCCTAGGTCCTATCAGGTGACATTGTTTAATTAATGGGACCTGGAGCATGCCAAGTCTGTCTGATAATACAGGAGGGACAGAAACTGCTGAAGATAGCCCCTCAGATAGCTAAGTTCTATGCCATGAATGATTTCATTGGTGGCAACCACAGCCTTGAATTGCACCAGAAGCTAACTGGCAACTGGTGCAGCTCATGAAGCAAAGGTGTTACATGGGCATACCAATTCCTGCCTATATCATTGCATTCTGGACCAGCTGCAGCTTCTGAGTGGTCTTCAAGAGCAGCCCTGTGTAGAGCTCACTAGACAACCCATGACCGTTGGGTCATCGTTTCAGAGATATTTCTTTACCTAAATAGAAAAACCGAATGACCAAGGGCAAAAAAGCAGTGGGAGTGTGAGCAACTTACAACTTGCTGCTGGCTTCCCTATTGATTTTGCTTGTGGGAAGCTGGCAGGGAACATCAGAAATCTTCCTCCCTCTTTCCTTCTTTCCTTTCTTCCTCCCTTTTCCTTCCATTTCCTTCCTTCCTTCCATTTCCTTCCTTCCTTCCTTCCTTCCTTCCTTCCTTCCTTCCTTCCTTCCTTCCT